GCGTGTGTGTGTGTGTGTGTGTGTGTGTGTGTGTGCGTGCATGTGTGTGTGCGTGCGTGCGTGTGTGTGTGTGTGTGTGTGTGTGTGTGTGTGCGTGCGTGTGTGTGTGCGTGCGTGCGTGTGTGTGTGTCGGGGACCATGTCAAAAAAAGTTTGAATACCGCTGCACTATAAAGAATAGATTTCCACTGCATAAGGGAGCGATAAAGCATTTCTGTGAAATATAAATATTCACTTTATACGCACTCAGTGGAATTACAGGGATTATTAGGCTGTTCCAGTTGTATCCCGTTGCTTTAAACCAAACACTGATTGACAGTACAATGACTCCGCCCACTGTGGGGCATGTCATACATTCACACTCAGCATCTCCCACAACATGGTACAAGTCAGAGGTGCTCCAGAACTGCGCCACGCATCTCACCGGAGACCACTCCCCCCCCGCCAGCTGGGCGGGACAGTCTGTCCTGGCGCAGGACTCCTGGACTGCGGCTTTGGTCCCAGCACAGGAGGTGTCTGCCAGCTTCCTGACCCCCCCGTCGCGGAGCAGCTGTTTGCAGTGGACCTTTCGGGACCGAGTCCCTCCACCACATGTGTGGGAGCACTGCGGACAACAAGCAGGGATCAGGGAGACACGCCAAGGAGGAATTAATGCTCCTTCTCGGTCCGGCAAGACTCCTCCGCATGATGTCAAGCCTAACGAAATGCTGGACTAACTTGGACAATAAAAGCGTATTAATGAAAACTTGTTATGATTAATGTTGTGGGTTAAAAGACGGCGTCTTGTCTAAGGACGACCCCAGAGTGCTGGGCTCACCTCCTGCCATTCCCCCACGTGCCAGGAGGGGGGGCAGTCTCTCTGGCTGCAGGACTGCAGCACTGGCGGTTTGGGCTCCACGCACTCCTCGTCGGCAACCGTCACCGTCACAGCAGGCGTCAGCGACACCAGCCGGTTGCACGGCACCACACGCGAGCGGATCCCCGCTCCGCACGTGCTGGTGCATGGCGTCCAGGGTTTGGGCTCCCACCTACGGCGGCCACAGACAGACAGGGACGCAGGGACACGGGTCAGCCCTGCTGGCACATGCGGCGGTACGGCCACAGCCCTGCAGGTCACATCCTGCACTTGGAAGTGAGGAAAGCTGACAACGGAATGGGAATTGTGGAACAGCAGTTCTCCAATCACAGTGCTGGGATGCTGCACCGACTTAATCATGGCTGTGAGCTCTCTGGATAAAATAAAGAAAATATGGCCACATTAAAGTAACATTTGAGGAGTCTGTTTGGGTCAATCACTTGCCCTCTTTTAAAACCAAGTTGTAAGCCATACAGCGCACACACACACACACACACACACAAACTGAAAAACACACATACTCCATTCTGAGGACAGCTCCAGTCATTCCTACACCACCCCTTCCCCTAAAATCACAATCACAAAGAGAGAAGGCCAATAACATCTAGCATCAAACACAATCGAGCTTTGGATCTGCGCTTTAAACCTGATCCAGACTCAGCGATGGCACTGTCCCTCTGCAGAATGAGCATGTCACTAACCCAGCCCAAGAGTTACATAAAGGAAAAGTGATGATCTGTGATTGCATTATGCAAGACACAAGAGTGAAAGGCGTTTTTTTTTTCACGAGTCATTGGTAGAAGGTCAACATTTCCATCAAAGATTCACTCAGCGAGTCACTCAGCTCATGACCACTTTAATTACTTTGCCCCAGAAATATTACACAACTCAGTCACATATTCATCACCAGCTGCCTAAAATAATTTCCTTCGCAGTCATAAAAACAATTGGACGGCCTAAACTGATAGATTTTTCTTTCCTGCCCTTTCTAAATTTCCTATTTTTAAAATAAAATGGACAATGTGTGTGAAAACTGAAAACTTACTGGGGTAAACAAAACAATCCGACTGTTGCGGAATGTTTTCTGTTGTTTAATCCACAGAGGCTTGTTTTCCTAAAACAGCTGTCAGATTCCGCCTGTCCCTGCAGGAATGCAGATCCATAAAACACAGCTGTCGAACGAAGGCGTTTTCATCGAGCAACTCCTCTCCCAAGCCCCAGAGGAACCTACTGCCATTATTTCAATTATATTCTTTGGACACGAACAAGAGATGCCCAAACCACATAGGCAAAGGGAAGCTATAAAAATGCTGCTGTTAAGTATGAATTTGGTTAGTTTAAATCACACTGCAGGAGCAGGAGGCTGCATCAAGTAGGATCAGGAACTCATACCCTACAGGATCTCAGAGGCTCAGGGTCTATAGGAAAGGGGACAGTGCATGATGGGTAATAAAGTGACAAAAAGCCCTTATTCCACATTTAGTATGAAACACAGCTTTGGCACAAACCTCTCTTCATGCATCATTAGGGGAGATGCACAGATCATCTATTTTACCTCACATGGTACATTATTTACAGCCCGTTTAAAACATAGGGTTTTGACAGGCCCAATTAAGACGATGTCATTGCGAAAAAATGTGCCACTTCAACTTTACAATCAAACTGTACAAGAAAAGCAGAACCCTGATCAGCAATGTCGGGCCGAAGCTGCTTTCCAGGCTGGCAGCAGATGGCCAGTTTCACTGGTTTCAGTCGCAGCTGCCGACCCTGTGGTGTCCCTCTGGCTTTTGGTCAACCGACTACTTCACTGGGGTTTCAAGGCACACTGAACAGCAGCCAGTAAGCCGGACTAGGACCGGC